ACTATAGCAATAGTTCACTTTAGGCAGGATAGCGGATAGCATATATCCCTTAGCTCTCAAAATTAAATTTCAAGTTATATTTATCCATGCATGCAATTTTCTAGTTCATCTTTTCAACTTCTTGTACTGTTTATATTATATTTAAAAAAATTGTAGACAGAAATCACCCGTGTGAAAGTTCTTTTTAAATTAAAATGGCCCATTTGGTAAAGGGTAAGTCGGCAAAGAATGGAAAGTTAAGAAGGAAAAAGAAACCAGCGTAGAAAAGAAAATCGGTGATAAGAAGCAAATTACATTTTGAACAAAAAAATAAGTTTTGAAAAAAGGAAAATACACCACATTTACTTTGTATAAATAAGGAGACTCCTCAAGTCTAAATGGACATTCAAAATCATCTACAAACATCTAACGAGAAAGCATTTCGGCACTTTCTATGAAATACCAAAAAGGGAAAAACAAGCACCTCAGACACTTTTCGCATAGAAAACCTAAGGTCAATTTCGATGGGATACCAAAACACCAAATTTGATATAATATCATCTTTAATAGAACACTAAAAATTACATCATTCCACCAAATTTGGTGTAGAGTGAATAGTGTTACACCAAATTTGGTGTAACACTAAGTATCTCACCAAATATTTAATATGTATATTTTATTATGTTTCATTTAATAATATAGTCCATTTAGTATTTTTAATAGTTCATATTTGTAACTATATATAAATAGATTGTATTATTTATATTTTAAATTATTTTTACATAACTAACAATATTTTTTAAATGAATAATTGATTATTATCATTTTACAGAACTTTTATATTTTATTTTATATTGTAAAATAATTTTTATTTGAAAATAACGATTATAATCTCTATTTAAGTTTAATCTGTAACGAACAATTCATAATATTAAAGTATTGTTAAGTTAGATTTAATAACAAATAATTAAATTTTATGTAATATTATTAAATTTACCAAACATTAAAATAACCTTTTTAGTTTTTTTTTCATTTTATAATATAGTTAAACTTGTATTACTATCTAATAAAAAATTATTAAAATGATTATATTATTTTGTTATGTGATTTTTATAGATAATAGTTTGTAAAATTTAATATATTATAGTATTATATAGAATATAAATACAAAATATAATATTGTTACACCAAAAAATGTATAAATTTTTTTAACATAAAATTAAAAAAATTTAATAATCATAATATGTAAGTGTGATTAAACAATTAGAAATTAAAAATAATAAAAATATATATAAATTATAAATATTAAAAGTTTTAAATAATATATAATATTACTTTTGGTGTAATGTTTGGTGTCATGGTTAGAGATGATTAAAACCATTTTACACCAAAACACCAAATTTGGTATAATTTCAATACTAAATTTGGTGTCATAGTTGGAGATGCCCTATTAAAATAAATATCATTTGAAGGACTTGTAACCGCTTGTAATAAACTAGGATTGATTTGATCCTATGCAAAAAGTATGTATATATGTATGCATCCTTTAACGGGGTCTCTAGCTATAGTTAATAAATCCTATTTTATGTGGATTGACGATCTATTTCTCCCTATGAAGTATCATATATCACTAGATACACATAGACTTTTGACCTCGTTCTATTTCTCCACAAAATAGAAGTTTGAATCCTATATCCCCCCATTTACAAAGATCGAAATCTATTTCCCCACACCGTCGAATTTAATGGTTTACTTGGGTGAACCAGTATAGAACCAAAATAATCCCATTTTAATCATAACCAAACCCACCCAAAAACCCGAACTTCAGCCGATCATAGTCTTTAAAAACCTCAATTCCTAAAGTAACGAACCCTAAAAATAATCAAATTAGGGAGATTTCTGGGAGAGATTAGAGAAATTGAAAGATGAGTGAAGGAATCATGTTTTCACCTCTCCATCTCTTCTTCGTCGTCTGATTCATCTCTAAGTGAAGGAATCGTGTTTTCACCAACCGTCCCCATTGTTTCAACTTGTAAAGCCTTCGTTTTTGGGAGAAATCGTCTTCGCATCTATTTCTTTCTTTCTAGGGTTTGTTTGTCGATGAAGAACACTGGAGATTTGGTATTTCTGTATTCGAGTTAAACCTATTGGGTTATAATCGGGTCTTAATCAGGTTTTAATCGGATCTTAAATGGATCTTTTCGGTTAAATCGCAGTTTTTATTGGGTAACAATAGATTATGGTTTAAAGATAAACAGTAAACCGGCATTAATTCAAATATATGTGTATTGCGGTGTTTAACTTCGACGATATGGGAAAATAGAGTTTGATCTTTGTAATTGGGGGATATAGGATTCGAACTTCTATTTTGTGGAGAAATAGAACGAAGTCAAAAGTCTCTGCGTATCTAGTGATATATGATATTTCTCAGGGGAAAATAGATCGTCAACCCATATTGCATTCATTTGCCGAGTTCCGAATTCAATATGAGGATTTCTCGTAAGTTCACTATCGAAATCATACATTTCCAGTACCTAGCAACGTCAGATTCAACAAATAATATTTGAAGTTGAACTTAAAAAGATCCTCGTTAGTTTTGGGTTTTTTCTTCATTTTATTTTGTAAATAAATCTCATGTTGTTTTATGCACATTATTCTCTTATAAGAGAATGATAATATATATTTAAACTAAGCCGATTTCATTTCAACTTGACTTAGTGTCTCAGGCGGCTTTTAGAGGTTGGTCGATATACAAAGTAGAAAGATCTACCACTGGTTTATTCGATTTTAGTGTCGCAAAAACAGTTTTCTTTTCTTTTTGTGTTAAAATATTTTGATAGATGCATACTGGTCAGAATGAGAATATATCTTATATCACGTTTCAAATTAATAAATTTCATTTGAAAAGAATCTGCAAACATGCATTTGAAGGATGATCATGAAAAATGGATATTTTTGCGAATCCACGATACCAGCCTAAGAGTGCTAAAAGGTGCATATACTTTGTGTCTAGTTAGGTCTTAACTACAAAATTCGAACAACTGTACATATGTTTGAAAATGTGATTAAAATCATCAAAGTGACTTTTAAGTTTGATCTGTAAGTTTGGAAAGGTTGAAGGTTAAAATACTTCTAAGGTAGCAATCGAATAGACGGATGAAATGGACGGTTGTAACTATGTACATGTTGTGATGCTGACAGTGTTTTTTTTTTTTTTGATGCTGACAGTGTTATTCGTCGAGCGAAAGCAGAAATAATAAATAGACATTTAATTTCAATTTTTTTGCTTAAATAAATAGCCATTTAATTAAACAACAAGATTGGAGAAGTGCTTAATAAAATGAAAAGTAAAAAATTATTAGAAATAATTAACACCAGTGAAATTAAGATGAATTTATGTGTTATTTTGCATATAGTTTTGTAAAGTTTGGTTGTTTTCGTGAGCTTGGGAATATTTAAAACGCTAAATAAATTAGGATATTACCTGTCAAGAAACGTAAAGGAAACGAATTGAAATAAACAAATGAGAGATACTTAGGGCAAAGCAAAGAATCACATATAGAGACAAGATTGGACGCATTGTTCTTATCTCCATTAATATTTTGAAAATCTTGTCAAAACTTATATTTATACTATCTATCGTATTTATTCATTAATTTACGAAGTATTTATGCTTCTTATTGACTGATCAAATCGCTACGTACTTTTTTTTTATCGAAATCAATGGTTGTCTTTCCTGTTATGCCAAAATGACCAACTTTAGAAGTCCCAAAATATGCCAGTCCTTCGCTAAGAAATTATTTTGACTGGAGTCAAAATTTCAACTAATTTAACTTTTGACATCATTAAAACGATACTATCATCGAATAAGTGTAGTTGTACTAATATTTATATTTTAATCATTGTTTCTTACAAATGTGCAGATTTAAATTAAATATCTTCAAAAAGAATAATAATACTTAAATATCTTCAGACTCTAAATCTTAAAATATTTTATAAATGTGTGCAGAATAATCAACTAGTTGTCTTAATATTTCTGTTTGTTTGTATTAGTGTTATCACTGTATTAATAATTAAATTTAAGCTCGTAAAATCATGTTAGGAAATATAATCATAATAATGAAAATATCGTGCGTGTTGGTAGCATATATGCTAAACTAAACTAAAATCAAACTATGGCATTCAGCTATTGGATCGACATAAAGCTAAACTAAAATCCATCAAATTAAAACGTGCGTATTGGTAGCGTAGATGCTTCTTAGTACCTTAGATCTCTGTTTTCTTTAGGATCCTTGTAACGACTATAATGTTCGGTTTCTTTTTATTTTATAGATAAAAGTTTCATGTAGTTTTAAATATTGCTAACGAGTATAAGCATACGTAAAAAAAAAATTGACAACACATACGTAATATTAAATTAATGGTATAAAATTCTGGAATTTAACATTTTGTAAACAATATAATACAACCTCACAGCTAAAAGCATGTTGCTAGTTGTACTTGTACGCGACATGTTATCAATAAGAATTGGATACTCCATGTTGTTTCTATACGTATAGTGATTTTTTGGGGGCCGGTAATATCTATACGTATAGTGAATTCAACATAGAAATCTCTATAATTAATAATATTGGATATACACCAAAATTTTATTTTTTTATTAATTTAGAGAGATATTAATTTATTAATATACTAATTGAATTAAAAATTCAATTTAAAATTATAAAATTATATTACTTTATAGAGATATTTAATGTATATTAATTTATCGAGTATTAATTTATAGAGGTTCTATACAATTGTGATAATGGAAGCTACGAGAATTTCAAGTAATTAGTTAATCAACTTTTTCTCCTCTCTCTATTTCCTTCTGGTCATGACTAGTTGAAAGAACAATGACGACAAAGCAAAGTTCCAAAGCATAATTAGTTAAAGAAAAATGCGTTATGATACGATTCTGAGCATTAAGTCACGATATATAGTCACTCCCTCATCAAACTTTTTATTTCATACCAACTTCTGAAAACTACACAAAGACAAGTGTCTACATATAAATAATTATGGTGAAGCTTGATGCTAAACTATGGAAAGCTGTGTTTATGATGTCGATTATCAACATTGCACTGAGCGTTGTAAATGTTATGTTCAAGAAGATGCTTGATCAAGGAATTAACCGCATGGTTGCGACCACTTACCGACTTGCCGCGGGAACTCTGTTCTTGATACCATTTGCGATTTTCTTAGAAAGGTATGTGTTTTTATATGTACTTATGAAATATTTACTTGAACCTTTCGATACATCGACCTTTTTACTGCTTCATGAGTCTAGTCACATGTCTTCTGCGTAGTAAAAAATCAGTTAATTCATCAAATATTTTCGCGGTTTGTTGATTAGCTAGTTAAGATCTTTTAAGTTGTCTCTTTCACAGTATAAAGTTATCAAGTGTTAATTAAAATATTTTTAGAGAATATATATGTATTCGTATTCAACTGAAAAGAAAACTGTTAATAAACGGATGCAAGAAAATAATACGGAAATAGATGATAATTGATAACAAGAAAGTTTTTTTTTTAAATGTGGTTCCTATTGACTACTACGTCTATAGAAACAAAATTGAGTAATACTAAAGAATCACACCATATTTAAGGCATATCAACAAAACTAACTTAGTTTTATTTTGTAGACATAACAGACCAAAACTCACGGGTAGGATCTTGTGTTCACTTTTCTTTAGCGCTCTGCTGGGGTAAGTTTCTCTTGATACAGTTTCTGCAATAAATATAAATTTTAGGATTGTCTAATTTTTTTTTATCATTTACAAATTGGCAGGACAAGTTTGGTGCAATACTTCTTTCTTGTTGGACTACAAAATACGTCTTCCACTTTCGCATTAGCGTTTAGCAACATGGTTCCTTCGATCACTTTTGCTTTGGCTCTCATCTTTAGGTAAAGAGAATCGACCAAACTTTCACAATTAAATCTAACGGTTAAGATTAAAAATATCATCGAAAAGATCTTGATTATTATATTTGATAGACATCAATAGCGTAAAATAGTAAACTTTTCATTATCTATAATGTACACTAGGTGATTTTCCCGTGCTCATGCACGGGTATGAATATTCATAAAAGTAAAATTTTATAATAATTGATTGATATTTAGTTTTAGTTTTGAATCAATTTCTATGTATAATTTATATTGATAAATATTATATTATTCTAATTATACATATGACTTTGATATATTATTGTCGATTTTATTATTTTGGATTAAAAATCGGGTTGGTTATCAATTTGGCATATTGGACAATATCTATTTTTCAAGTTCAGCTATAATATTTTTTATTCTAAATATAATAAAATTTTGATTAATTTTCTTGTTTTCATTTCGGTTGGTTATTGTCTTAGATATGTAAATATATTCTTAGATATGTAAATATACTATGGTTAAATTATGTATAACTTAATATATATTGTGCTTAAAATGAAATAAATAATAAGGTGAAGTGTTTGATTCAAAATTACATAAATGAATATAATGATAATATTTTGAAGTCTCATGCATATATATAAATTCTACAAAAGAATTAAATTGTAATTGGTTAATATTTTATTTTTATTTTTAATATGCTTTGAGTCAACCTTTAATTTATATGTATAAAATTAAATATATTATTATTATTATTATTATTATTATTATTTGTATTATTATTATAAATTATATGTTCTTATTGTAGTTAGATGTTTAATTTTGGATATAAATTAGATTAGCCGAGTCATTCATTTTGTGAGTATAAAGTAATTAAAATTGAAGTATAATTACTTTTTATTTTAGCTAAGTCAAATCAAATTAGGTTTATGTATCTCTTAAGTATATATGTATTTCATAATATTTATTTACTCTTTATTTTAGTTAAGTCAAATCAAATAAGTTTTATTTATCGCTTAAATATACATGTATTTTCATAATATCTATCAAATTATATGTTGATTTCTAAAAAAAAATATTAGAAAATAAAGTGTAACTGATAAATTTTTAGATGTTCATGAACATATATATTTTTATTATTTTGAAAATATATTTTATGTTATTTAAAAATATATATGAATGGGGATATTACTATATTGTGAACTTTCCTTTTTAATAAAGTCATATTATAGACATATAATTTCGTTTTTAATTTTTTAAATAAAATTTAGAAATATTTCCATTTTATTATATATGTTATTTGGAAAAAGGTAAAAAAGAAACTAAATAAAATAAAATTAATAATAATTTTAAAATCTAACAATTCATTAAGGGTATCTATGTAATCAACCATCATGAGAGTTAACGTGAGAGCAACACGTAAGAAACTGACTTCTCAAATAATATTATAGAGATTTCTAATATTAGTTTAGGAAATTAAGTTTAATCATTTCTATATAAAATTTATGCATATTGTAATTTATTCTTTAAAGAGAGTCAATAATACCTAATTCTAATAAGTTACTCTCATCAATATAATCAATCATCAACTATTATACAATATAACTAAACGATGAGTTATTAGGCAAGAGACGTTGAACATCAAGAGCAGCATAGGAAGAGCCAAAGTGTTGGGCACAGTGATTTGCATTTGTGGAGCGTTGGTGCTGACGCTTTATAAAGGACCCTCATTAACTCGACAAAACATTCCAATGCAAACACAAACGTCAAATGGTTCGACCACAGCAGAGTGGGCAATGGGTTCGGTCATGCTGATCATATCAATCTTAATATGGTCATTATGGTTCATAGTTCAAGGAAAAATATGCCGAAGTTATCCGTGCAAATACACGAGCACCACTATCCTCTCTTTTTTTGGTGTGATCCAGTCTGCTTTGTTGAGTTTGATCTCAGAGAGGAGCATATCCATGTGGGTCGTTAAAGACAAGTTCCAAGTTTTAGCCTTACTTTATTCGGTAAGCAAAATCACATTTACTATTACTTATTGCCCCATAAATCTCAGACCCGGTCCTGATGATGGGTACTTGTATAGGGTATTGTGGGATCGGGATTGTGCTACGTTGGAGTGTCGTGGTGTCTCCAGCAAAGAGGTCCAGTTTTCACGTCGAGCTTTATCCCTTTGATTCAAGTCTTTGCTGCCTTTTTCAGCTTCTCTTTTCTTCATGAACAAATTCACTGCGGAAGGTATGTTATTGTATGATTTATGTATCTAATAATTTAATATCGACGTACGCATACAAACAAACGATTTAATACAATGTTGCATGATATAAATTTAAATTATCCATTGACTTGTATAGAATATACTAAAGAGTAAAGACCTTTACATTCATTCAAAAAAAAATGACCCTTTCACCTGCATGAAATATCTTTTGAATGTGGTGGAATTGGAGTTAACCCAAATTGCTGCATAACATAAGTCGAAAAATTATTAACTTTGTAGAATATCATTTGAAACTTATCAAGACCTTTAATATGTGTAATGAATACCTTCTATCGACGTGGAGACTGAGAAATCTTTTACACGATTTTCTCTCTACTAACGGTAGATATTGAATCCTTTATTTTCTATTGGTTACTAATTAATTATTTCTGGATATGTGGCATGAAAAAAAGTGTGATAGGATCAACCGTCATCATCGGGGGACTTTACATACTTCTATGGGGAAAAAGCAAGGAAAAGCCGGCACCAGTAACCAAACAAGAACCACTAAATCTCGATCTTGAAGGTTGTGGCACAGCTCCAAAGGAACTTAATGGTGCTACCCATCCAGTTTCTGAAAAATAATTGCTTCAAAATACATATTATTGTTTTGCATATGGTCAATGAACTCCACATAAACGAAAATGTAACACAAAAACTGTTACAATTATATAAAATCTGAAGTTCAGATTCGAGTTCCTGTAAAGAAAATTTTAATTTCGTTTTTTTTTGTCAATGAAAATTGTAGGCCAAGAAAATTGTTCAATTACATTAACACTTTACCAAAAAAAAAGTTTTCAGTTTGATGACCATAACAAAAAAAAAAACTTAAGTTTTCAGTAAGTTACGGTTATATTTATTAATTGAGAGATCTTGGCAAAGCCCGTCTAGCTCAGTTGGTAGAGCGCAAGGCTCTTAACCTTGTGGTCGTGGGTTCGAGCCCCACGGTGGGCGCTTTTATTTTTCATTTTCAACTTAATGATTTTGCCTTTCTTATACTACTAGGGATCGATGTAGTATCCTTGAATTTTCGTTTATTCTACTTTTTTGCATTCACGTAATAATAACCCCACTGCCTTTCTGTGTACTTCAGGGCTAGGCAAATAAACCAAGCCCGAAAATCCGAACTAAATCTGATCCAATTAAAATGAATCAAACCAATTAAAAAGAATCGAACTAATCTAAACCCGACGTAAATACTGAATAAATCTTATTTTATGGTATTTTCGATTATGAGTATTATCCAAACCGAACCCGAAATTAAATGGATATCTGATAGAACCCGAAACATTTAAAATTTCATAAGAGAATGTACCGAACATTATTTCAATTCCTAATATGTATCCAAAAGAACTTTAAGATATTACTTAACATATAAAATAATTATCTGTTGCATAAAAATAGATGGTATAAGCTTGAAATTTAAGATTTAGGTTATTGAATAATGTTTCTCATTTCTTAAGAATTTGATTTTCATTTTATGCTTTCATTTATTTGATTGTATTTCTATCAATAACTATGTTTGCCTTTCATTTGATTTTAAATGATTAGGCTTGATGTTTTTTTTTTATTTTCGAATCAATTTACTTATGTTTTGGTTAGAAAATAGTTATAAATCAAGTACTTTAAATCTGAAGAACCGATTTTACTTATATTTTGGTTATAAAATATGTATAAATAAGATATTTTTTAAACCAAAGAATCGATTGGGACCCGAATCCAAAAGTATAATGGGTTATACCGGTTCTTTGAAGATTTACTAACTTCGACGCGAACCCGATAAAACCCGAACCGAACTTTCAAATAATCCGAATGGGACTGATTTTGATAAATCCGAGACCCGATTGAACAAAACGGAAACCCGATTGAGACCCCGAGTGCCCATGCCTAGTCTATATATGCAAGAAAAAGGGAAAATCATGAAAACAATTTAACTCTACATGCCAATGTGTATGTGCGTATTGTTTTAGAGTGAAAAATTGTAGGTATGAATTAACCGGATCAGCTGATAGATTTATCAGAAAAAACAATAGGTATCAAACTACTAAAAAGGTAATTTATGCAGATAACTGAAATCAGCTGTCTTAAAATAAACAAAATTAAATTTACATAGTTGGAAATTCAAATATATATATTTCCAGTACATATTCAATTAGTTCACATAGCTGGAGCAAATACTGTTTGGCTATGTATATGTGCGTGAATGTTATATCTTTTAATTGGATCTAACATATAAATATTGTATTAGACCTAATATTTATTTTGTAAGTTTTTAAATTAGATAGATCTTTTATTATAAAGTTAAATTCACCCAAAATCATTAATGCTGATTGCCTTATAAAACATTACAACTCCCAGGTTATTATCGTTGGTTTTTAACCAGCCCATCTCTCTTATTTATTATAATGGTGAATCAAATAGAATCGTATCCATGCAGTTTGGTTAATTAAAAATCTGGACAAAAATGTATGTATCATATTTTTGTCCAGATTAAATGATAACAGAAGTTTTGTATTTTATACTTTTCCAAAAAAAAACTAACACCAATTCATATTTGACATTGGGTTCCATGTAAAATCATAACATGTTTTTCCCTCGTTACATTTATACACGTTATTGTTATTATAACCAAATGCATAGTTTATACACGTTACATCTATACTTACTTATATATTCATCAGTATTAAAAATAAAATAAAAATCATGTTTCAAAACATAATAGAGTTTTAAAATCTATTTTCTTTATTTTCAGTTGCAAATAAAATATACAATAGATAGTGTAAAGAAGTTTTTATAACAATTTGGAGTTACTACGTACGGTCCAAAATACAATAAAATTAAAATAAATAAGTATTTAAATATAATGAAACTATTGAAATTAACTTTTAAAATTAATATATAAAATATTTAAATCAAACTGATTATATAGTTTTCTAGGGATACTTCTTGAACCCAAACAAATTGTATATCCGGTTTATCAGTTGGACTGTGGATGTGGATCGAATTTAAAATAGCTGACTTAAATGCAAGTTTTAGATAGACAAATTCTTAAAAATTAATAAAAACATTTTATAAAACCCAAAATAGATTATATATCAAGTCAACGGGAGTTTGACCGTAGATCCAGATCGGGTTTAAACTCGCTGACATAAATGCAATAAATAGATAAACTCTTACAAATTAATTAAAACATTTGTATCATTGTTAACGAAATTTTACATCATAAAATATCTCACACTTTTAAAGCGCAAATCAAAATCTAGTAGTCATTATATTAGATACATCACACATGTTCTTTATTTTACTTTCACATGCACTCCAGATTTAAGAACTTACCAATGATAAATCATCCAAATACTATATTTTCTATTAATTTATTATGTTTCCCTTCATATTTGGAAGTTATTGGAGGGGGGATTAATCGTTCTTTTTCTTTACGAAAATAAATCTACTTTTATAAATATAAGTTATCAAATTTGACTAAGTATAATTATATTTGATCAATGTTATACATGTATTATATGATCAAGAAAATTATAAAATTGACACATGCTGCAGTGTCATAATATTGTTCTAAAATAATTATATGTTACATGAAAGTAAATGCTATAAGCTTGAATTTTTAAGATTTAGGTTATTGAATAATGTTTCTCATTTCTTAAGAATTTGATTTTCGTTTTATGTTTACATTTATTTGGTTTTATTTCTATCAATAACTATTTTTACCTTTCATTTGATTTTAAATGATCACGTTTGATGTTCTTTTCTTATTTTCGAATCAATTTATTTATGTTTTGGTTAGAAAATAGTTACAAATCAGGCACTTTAAATCTGAAGAATCGGTTTTACTTATATTTTGGTTATAAAGTATGTACAAATAAGATATTTTTTAAACCAAAGAACTGATTGGGACCCGAATCCGAAAGTACAACGGGTTATACCGGTTCTTTGAAGATTTACTAACTCCGACCAGAACCTGATAAAACCCAAACCGGTCCCAAACCGAAATTTCAAATAATCCGAATGGGGTTGATTTTGATAAACCCGAAAACCCGAGACCCGATTGGACAAAACGAAAACTCGATTGGGACCTTCAGCGCCTAGGCCTAGTGTACCCTGTTTATCTTTACTTAAAACATAACTTTTCCTTTTAGAACTTTGATATCAAAAGCCTAAGACCATCTCTCATACAATATATTTTTCAATAATTTAAGCACAAATAGAGTAAATTTTGTTCCATAGTTTATTCTGTAATAAAGTTATTCTCTTATATAATGAAATATAGATGAATGTCAATTTTTTATTCCTAGAGTTATTTAGTTTTTTTTTTTTGTAAATTGAGAAGAAAAAAGAAGAGAAATTTGGACGCATATACATAATAGGATTTAAATGGAGTTTCAGACCATAACAACAACTAAGTTATGATAGTTATGTATTAATTGCTACATTACCCTTTCTCACTTTCACCTCTCTTTTTTAATTCACTTTTTAAAAACTATAATCTGAATTGCTTATATAATTATAAAAAACATAGATTTTTTTTTGTATATGACATGTTTTGAATTTTGTAAAAGTGACATATATTTATATATTGAAAATAGACAGCTATAATTAAACTTTTTACTATTCTATTTACGAAAGATAAAATGGAACGGTAATGATAAAATTTATCTTTCTTCTATCTCTTTTTGTATCTCTCATCAATCATCATTTCTCCCTCTATTAGTATCTCCAATTTCCATCTTAATCTCCCTCCCTTTTCCCTCGTTATTTCACTCCCTCTATCTCTACTCTTATCTTTCTAACATGTGATGTTTTAAATAATATCTTATACAATAAAGTTGAGTTTTCTCACTTCTCAATCCTCCACATCAGCATCAGAGCATGGAGAAAAAAACGACATGTCAGCAGTTACTAACTGAAATTAAACCGGACAAAATTAATTTAGTCCATCACGGTTTGTCACATTCTGATTTGTTGAGTTTTTTGATAAAATGGGTTTGGGCTCTTCAAAATATAATGGCCAGTTATAGAATGATTTATGTATTACCCAACTTGTAGAATTTGGTTAAGATTTACACACATTCTCAGTCCGTTAAATCGTCTTTTTACCTTCCGACCTATGTTTCAGAGATCAAACCGACGGTCACCTTGTTGTAAAGTTTTTTTTTCACCTTTTTGTAAATTTTGTTCTCATGCATCCTTATATTTCATATAAAATAATGAACACTTGCACAGCTTATAACTAAACAAGGTGCATAGTTTGTATCACATATATTACAACATCTTCGACGTTTTAGTGTACACAATTTAAAGTAACAAATGATAATAATTAACACAAATTAATAGAATTATGAAGATACCATCATAGAAAATTATGAACACTTTCATAACTCATATAAGATTAGACAAACTTCAGAGCTAATGAACACTTGCACAACTTCTAAAAAAATAAATAAAGAGTAGAGCTTATATCACTTTGTTTAAACAAAGGTCGGAGCTTATATCACTTTAGTTTATGATTGCCACAAATGTAAGAATATGTTAAAAAAATGATTGCCACATATCTTCATAGAAAATTATGAACAGTTTCATAACTCATATAAGATTAGACAAACTACAGAGCTAATGAACACTTACACAAGTTCTAAAAGAATAAACAAAGAGCAGAGCTTATATCACTTTGTTTAAACAAAGGTCGAAGCTTATATCACTTTGATTTATGATTGCC